ATATATACATCAATGACTCCTAGAACTGTAATTAATCAAAGAATCCAGAAATAGATAAGTGGCAGAAAACTGATGAGTTTGGGTTTTTTTCACCAAAGCTAACACTGCTGTGATTGGATGAGCGTCCTCGCTGCTGCAGCGACACCGTTTGCTGCAGGTCTGATGACTGAAACTCAATAAAAAAGGATTTAACAGCCTCCTGCAGCACAAGCCGCCGTCGCATCGCTTCCACTCGTGGTCCGTAGGTGTGAAACGTCTCCCCCGACAGCCAGCGCAGAAGGTTTTAACTAATGCTGCTGCCAACAGTGGGCAAGGAAACCAATTTAGCACCTTTGGAAATTCAATTTAAAACTTCTCTTTGGAGGGAGCTGTACTCAGTGCTTCTTAAAACTTTTCAAAAGCAGCAGATTGGAAGGGCAAATTTCCGATCAGAGACTGCTCTATTAAGCAGACCGAGCACCAGATAGATGTGACAGAGAGATGCTATTTATTCATGTCATAAGAGTTCACTTTGGCTTCAGTGCTTCTGCCTCCATAAACTCACAACTTGGGTAAAATTTAACCCAAAAAATACAAATTGAAACAAACTCATGGAAATATCTCAATGAAATAAAACTGATTTGGTCTTTTTAGGAATTTCCTGCAGTGAGCTAAAATTATTTGCCTTCTGTACGAATCTAACGCTTCCAGTCTTATGTCTGTTTGTTGCATAACGTGGAGCCCGTTCCCTAAAACAAGCTGGACCGTGTTAGGTTCTGCAGGACCACTTACCCTGGCGGACCTCTCCATGGTGTAGGCCAACCCAGAGTGAACGATGTCCTTCTCAGAGGCACCCTGCAGAGGAAAGCTGTACGTTAACCACACAGTTCATCTCAGAGGGAAATCCTTAATCACTTAGAAAAATATTACCATCGTCCACATTAACAGATACTAGTCTGGTTGCTTTTAATGTTGTGAATGTGTTGGTATAAACCAAATGTTTTTAACAAAAGGTCCAGATAGTTTCCGGATGACTTGAGATGAGCATCTGTCAGCACGTCAACAAGAAAATGATGAATTAACCCATAACATCAGTCTTCTTAAGTCGTGCATGTTGCTTGGGTTGGGTCGGTTTAATGACTGTCAATCAAAGGGGTTTAGCCACAAAAGCCTGAACATAATGAGCAGTACACAGGTCTGGACTTGGGTATGAAGTTAATGTGGCAGCTAAGTTAAGCTTTCAAGAATTAGGTGCAGCAAAACCTTTGGTACAACACAGTATGAGGAATAAGAGGATAAAACTAAGCATAATACAGATCAATTAGTGTTTAAAATGAGCAACCCACACTGAACTACTGCCACTAACAGATGATTAAACTTTCGTAATCAAACTCTGAGTCTTTTCAAACAAAGTCACAGTTTGGTTCAACACTTCCATTCATATGTCTGACAGCTGGTTAAATAACTGATTTAGTCAGTATTGGACATTAGAATGCATTTTCCTGGAGGCAGTGAAAAAAAGAAGAATTCTTTCCAGCCGGCACTAGTCTGTGCATGAACATGGGTGTGACGGGAGACGTTAACTTACAGCAACTCTGGCCTGGAAGTCAGCAGTGGGTACGATGGGGATGGGTCCGCCCTGCTTGCCAAACTTCCTCTCTAAGCTCTCCTGCACAGACACTAGACGGGATTAAAGAAAGAAAATACCACATGAAACCACATGAAACCCAGCAGCAGTAACACAGCTGACAGTTCGTCTAGTTTGACTCGTTTTAAACACGCGACATTGATCGTTTGTTTCGCCGTACATGGTGAAAACAGATTCTGGGATTTTATGATTGGCTGCAACAGAAAGTATAAATAAGGAAGTGAGGAAGCTCCCAGGAGCAGACGGCGACACCACCCGACGCTGCCTGGACCTCCAGACCGAGTAAGAACACATTCATTTATTCTGGTTAACTGAACAGGGTTCTTTTATGCATTTAAAAAAAAAAACCTTAACAGACTTGTCTTGACCTGCTAAGCAAGGACTGAAAGATAAAGGATTGTGTTTAAATCTGTTTAAGTTGATTTTAGGAATCACAGTATGTAGTGAAGCATCTAAAACAGGTTATATGTGCAGCCACTCCAGCTCGCTTTCACTCAAGAGAAAAATAGACGAAAGAGTTGAAAGGCAAATTGCTGACAGTCAATCCAAGCTTTCCAAGTCGTAGCTTAATTACTATGAATCCACATACAGAGGCAGCAGTGCTAACTTCTGTGGAATCTGACTTATTTAGATGTTCAGTTTTATTTATTTATTTTTTTTGTACAAATCTAATGTAAAGTTATTCCTTCAGCAGACACTCAGTGGACACGCCCTTCACACCGAGCTGTGCACATCAGAGAAATACGCAGCAAAACCACAGGAACTGTAAGTAAACACAACAATAATCACCAAGGAAATGGCATAAAGGAAATAAACTCTGCAGCTCTCAGTGCATTTGTAGCTGCATGCATGTAGCAGCTGATAAACTAATAGTTCATTATGGATCAGAAACTGGACTGACTTCCGCAGGAAGAGTTCAGTGTGAGATTAAGTTTAGAGAATAAGTGATAATGTCGTCCATGATGTTTACATCAGCTAAACTCTGCACGAGTAAAAGTAAGTCTTCCACATAAATGTGAGTCATTTTACCTCAAGACAAGTTGTGTCATCGAAAAACAACCAGAGTTCAAAATCAAACTGTACGCACACGACTAACCTGAGGACCTGTTTCTTCAAGTCTGGATTTGTTTTATTTATTATTAAATCTATCTAAAGGAGTCAGTGCAGCTCGTTGAAGATCTTGAATGAAACATGTTTGCATCTGATGGCATTAAAATGTCAAGAGACCAAATTCAACCTTTTCACTACCACACCCTCCCAGCTTTCTTTCACAGGCAGTGAATTCCTACTGCCAAACTGTCAATCACAAATAAATCCCTTTAGCAATACAAACCCTGCATGTCCTCAGGGAAGTCACATCTGAGGGCAATCAAAGGTGCAAAAACCTGCCTGTCGAATCCTGAATCTCTCTTTTGTCTCTATGCAGATGGGTGACCAGGCGGCAGACAAAGACAAAAAAAACCATAAACTGATGCAGGAAATGAAGGCGAAGCCAGAAACTCTGCATCAGGGCGAAGGAAACAGAAGCATGTTTTACACTCCTGATCTCGAGGCGTGGGCGGCGGTTATAAAGGAATCCTGCCCTGACGCCGAGGAGAAAACCATCCGTGTGTTCAGCACCCCCGACGGCACCATAAAGCTGCACCCGAATGGGAAGTGTGTGATCATCTGCTCCAAACAGCAGGAGGGGAAGTTTCAAGAGAAGTTTGAAGAGCTGAAGTCCAAAGTGGCAGAAAAGAAGGCGAGCAAATAGATACCAGAAGCAGATTTAGGGTTAAATGACGACGACGGTTGAACTCAAACATCTCAGCTTCTACCATCATTTCAGTTTTGGGGTTTCAGGTTTAATGTGTTGTTTAAAGGTTAACTGGGTTATCTAATCAAGAAATGTCGGGTTTTTATTTGACAATATATTCGCCACATTCTGCACACTTCTGATGTTTTTTGTGTTTATTGTCGTAACAGTGACGCTACGACATGTTTGGATTGTGTCTCGTGACTGTCTGTAGGTCTGCGGTTTGTACTCACTGAGCAGGTGGTAGTTTGAGTCTCTCTCGTATTTGAAGGTCAGTCTGCCGTAGCTGACGTGGTTGAGATTCTTCAGCCACTCGAAATAAGACACCGTCACACCACCGGCGTTCAGGTACATGTCCTGCAAGGTGAGAAACCGGAGGTCAGACGGCTTTCACTGCGCAGAATCGTTCAAAATAATCATCTTCTGTACTGAAAAATGTCTCCATTAAAGATTTCTGAAGACTGATTTTTCTTTTTTCTGCACAATAATGACATTTAAATAAAACTTTTGGGAAATTGTTCATCTGACAAGCAAACATCAAAACAAAGCAAGAAGCTGAGAGATATGAAAGTCT